GCAGCCTCCAGGCTCGGAGACCACTGCACACCTGGCCCGAGGTGCAGTCCACGTAGACCCCAGATGATACTGGGACAGCTCTCCCCATGCAGGCCTGTGCTGATGACAGGGAGCGAGGCTGAGGGGCTTCATCAGTGAAACGTGGTGTGGGGGATGGGGGAGGGAGGGCTGATGTGAAAGGCATGCTTGTGTGGGAGTGTGCATGTTTACAGGAGCATCCATTAAAGGACAGTGGCGGTGGTGCACATTCAAGTCCACCTCTGTCCATCTAGGCCTCCCTCAGCACACAGTGGCACTGAGGGATCAGTGTCAGGGGTCACTCTCAGGGCCACACACTTTCACCCCAACAGGACAGTTTCTGCTGGACACACCACGTCTTTTGTGGTCTTCTGCACTGTCCAATGGATGATAAGCCTGATGGGTCACGTGACACTTGCAGGTTCTTTGCAGTAGATGTATGCAGGGAGTGGGGATGGGCACTCATTCTTGTAGTTTAAAACGATCCCACATAAAGCGGGTCACTTTAAATGGCATTTCCTGAGAGCTGTGACTGAAGGAATAGCTAGAGACTGGAAATCCTGAGTCCAACAATATCTTATTCCATCTAGATAACCTCAGGCTATAACAGTCCATTTTCTTTCTTTTTCCCCTTTCTGGTCAGGTACATAGAAGTATAATTCATACACAATAAAATTCATCTATCTTAAGTACATAGCCATGGGGCCAGTATGTATTTGAGATACAGGGGATCCCTGAAATATGCAGGAGTTACATTCCTAGAGTACCCATGAAATGTGAAAAACTGCAAATTTCAGACATGGTCAGAAAACTGCCTATAAGTGCCTAGTTTTAATACCTAACCCTAACCCTAACGCTAAACCCTAAACATGCTGTGTGTCTCACAGTTATGTAATTTAATTTAATAAAATACTGTATTAATAAATCCTTAGAAGGTACAGGGTGTTTTGTGGCATCTTAGGGCCCTTAGGGCTTTAAGAAGAACAAAACGAAGCCCCCAGAGAGGCCACATGCGGTACAGCGTTGTCCTGATGTGGGATGCTGGTGCCTCTGCCAGGCGGACTATGAGGCAGCGGCCAGTCAGCAGCAGGGAGGACTGAGGAGCACTCAGAAACAACAGCGGAGGGTGGCTGCCCTTCCACAAAGCTGTGGGGCTTCTGTGAACGATTATCAGTTGAGCTCTAAGGAAGAATCCCATGAACAATGAGGTCTCTAACTCTGAACTGTGACTTCGGGGGGTACACTGTGCATAGAACAGTACTATGGGCCCCAAAATTCGCTGACTGCTGCTTCACAGTGACGACCTAGGCCCTGGCTACTCCTATCTCTCTTCTGTGCATCAGATATACTGCCTTTCCCACAACAGCATACAACCACATGGCGTGCAGTTACACAGTGGAGATGCCTTTGTGTTTGGCTTCTTGCATTTAGTGTGCTGCTTTGGAAACCGGTCTGTACTGGTGCAGGAATGGGACCTTTTTCCATTTTATTGATGAGTGGCCTTCCATTGCATGAATTTATCCATTTTCTTTATCTTAAGTGGCACTGAAGGATAGTTTATGGCCTTTAGCAGGCATAAATGAAGCAGCTGAGCAGTGCACACAGTTTCCTGTGTGGACACCGTGCTTCCATTTCTCCCAGAAGAAAGTGACCCTTGGCTCACAAGGCACGTGCACGTTTAACTGTATAAGCACATGCCAAGCTGCCTTCCAAAGTGGTACTACCATGCAGTGTCCCCACCAACAGGACCTGAGGGCTCTGGTTGTGGCATAGGTGTGCAGGCAGCTCTGCTAGAAGTGGTTTCTGATTTTCTCATTGTTTCCTAGCATGATACATGTGACACCCCGGTCCCAAATGTGCTCTTCCTCTGTGCCTGACATAATCCAAATCCCCCTGGGGTATCTACTATGACCTCATTTTAGCAATTCTGGAAATGAAATTGTTCTATACAATGGGGGCCAAATCTATTTAACTCTACTTGAGAAGCAAAAATCAGTGTGACCTGAAGGGAATTGGTATTGAAGTTTGCTAAGCAGTGTCCTTCAGAAGACTCAAAGATTCTAAGAGGCTCCAAGGACGTACCCTCAGCAGGCTTAGGACAGTGGCACTGTCCCAGGACTTCTGGAGAGTCAAGACTCCACCTTTGCAGCTCAGTAACAGCATTGCTCTCCGGGGACCTGGTCATGCTGATCCAGGAGCATCCTTTTGGAGCTTTAGAACCACCTGGAAGAAAACCTGCCTCTAACCACAAAGAGGACTAGATTTGAACTTTGCTTAACAGGATATAATTTTTGTTATTGTTCAGGAGGATGTTACTCAAATATTCGTAGAAATTAAGAATCAAACCCCTACTTCATGCTGGAGCCTTGCCTGGAACCTGCTACTCCTGTGTCTTTTGATCCCTGGTTCCACACAAATTTCATTGAGAGGACTCGGTTTACTTTGAAGTCAAATTTTATGAGATTTTTTAATGTTATCATCCTTAATGCTCATGGAGGCTTTTTGCATTTTATCACGTTTGAATGTGGAAGCCACACATTTTTAGAAGCTGTATGATAAAAATGATTGAGATCTGTTTAAAAAAACTGTATCTCTGAGTCTACTTTTTGCTGCTATGCAAACAAGGTGGCATCAGTGTAACCCAGGGCCCTGGTGGGATGGGAGAAGTCTGTGGGGAGAGCTGGGAGACAGCCAGCTCAGACCAGCCTGCAGCCTCAGGGCTCTGGGAAAGCTGTGGCTGGGCTGGAATCCTCCCCCATGCACCAGATTTTCCTTCCTCCACCATGTTGCTCACCCCCGCCACCACCAAATCTGGAGGACCTGAATAATGAGACTTTTTTAGTACACACCCAAATGAAGACCTGCTGGCAAATCTGATGATGCTCTGAGGCAGAAAGCATCTCAGGAGACAGTGCAGTGGAAACAGGTCCCCGGCCGCCTGGGAGTCGATCAGAGCCTCTGTCCACTCTAACCTTGGCCTCTTCTGTCACCATCTTCCCTCCGCACCCTGCTTCCTGCACGGTCAGGACCTCTGCCTCTCCAGAGCTTACACCAGGGCACTGAATCTCTAGGAAACAATCCTTCCTTTTGCCCCAAAGGTCTTCAGTCCTTTCAGCCTCCCGAGCCAGCTGAGGTGGCCCCTTCTACTCCCAATTACACCCTCCTGCAGACCGAGGACACCTGCACTTTGGCCTTCTCACTGATAAGTTTTGGGAATAATACCTGTTTCCTGGGGTGTAATTCACAGACACAGTGGCTGGCACCCTAGAAAGTCACACCAGATGGGATTAACTTTGGGTCTTTTCCTGGATGGTGTTTTCTGGCTTCTCCCATAACTGCTGAGATTATTCCCTCTGCTGTTCAGATGCTTAATTGTCGTTCCCTGATGTACATTCATGGTAAATATCTAGACTTGTGGAGGTGAAATGGTTAGGAACCAGGCCATGGTCTAATCCACTGCCTCATAGTTTAGACTTTAGCTATAAAAATCACCAGAAAAGATAAATTCGTTACTTCCCTGTGAACTTTTTTTAGCATTAGAATTTTGCAAAAATTGTTCTTAATTTAATCGTATTATTCTTAATTATATACCTTGTACTGGGCTAACTGATTTTTTTCATACTGATTATAAATCACATAAAATGAGTTTTATGTTCAACTCGGAGCTTACTTCTTGGTGTGCCAAGCCACCCATTCCCGGTCCCAGAAGTTATTTGTAATTCATGCATTCCCATGCCCTCACATAGTGGTCCTGATTTAAAAACCCTTTGTCAAATGCTAGGTAACCACTGGGCAACACATTTATATCAGTTGGAACTTTAGGTCCCAAAGCACACTGAAGAAACTACTGAGATTCAATCTCTATAGCTTGTCAGCTATGATTTTAGCTTATACTTATCCTTAAAGTAATTTTGTCTACTAATGTTCAAATATTTTTTAAAATAGCCTGTGTATGCCTGTAATCCCAGCATTTGAGAGGCTAAGGCAGGAGTACCATGAGTCTGAGGCCAGCCTGAGCTGCATAGTAACACCTTGTCTCAAAAAACTAAACCAAACCAAGCCAAAACAAAACAAAAACACTAATAACACCAGTTTTTGAAAAGTAAATGAAATTAGCTTCTATAACACTTTAAAAAAAATCCCAAATTATTTCAATCTCAGCATGTTCATTTGTATTCTCCTCTAATATTGTATTAGTTACATTTATCTCACTGCAGAAACAAAATATTCAACATCCAAAACGAAGGGAGGAAAGGTTTATTTAGCTCACTGTGGAGGTTTCAGTCCACTTTCAGCTGGCTCCAAGGCAGGGTGCTGTGGCTGTGGCTCAGCTGTTTGCGGTGATCGAAAACAGCTAAGTGACAAAAGCAAAAATGGGGAGAACAAACCTTTTCTCCTCCTTTTTATTATAAGCAGGTTACCCGCACAGGGTGGGTCCTTTATAGGTACACCATCCCCCTGTTTTCCTCTAATACAAGATGAGGATATTTACAGAGTGAGGACCATGGGCCCTACCAGTCACTTAGCTAAACTTCTAAACTTCTCAAGTTGACACAATGAATCGACCAGTACAACGTGCTGGCTGTGAACAGTCACCCTAGGGCATGTCCTGTACACCCTAGGATGTAGAACTGCTGAGTTACTTAGTTAGACTTCTAGGCTTCTCAAGTTGACACAGTATATCAAACATTACACACGTGAAAACTAAAACTGGCCAAAGTATTGTAATTAAGCAGTTCTGGTGTAAGCAATCATACATTTCCACCTATACAAGCACTTGTACTTCCTGCTTATCTGCACAATTTATGCTTTGTGGTTTATTCATTTATTTTGTTGGTGATATTTCTAAAAAAAATAGAAAAGTGAGGTCTGGGGTTTGGAATGGTCTTGCTGACCCTATAAATGATAAAAGGTCATCAAGTTACAGATCACATTCTTCTCAGTTTGTAAAAGGCAAACACCTGGTGTTTCCAAGAACTTACCTTGTCGGACAGCGAGGGTGGTGGTGTAGACCAAGAAGAGAAGGATATAATTGAGGAAGCTCTGAAAAACTGGCGTGTTGGCGTGGAAATCTTCTGACAGGTACTTGCTGGTCAAGCTAATTCCGCAGATGAGGAGGGACAGTACCTGGCCCAGCGCCACAGAGATTAGCATCTCCCTGAGAAAGAAACAGGAAGTTCATTAAAACAATGGCAGTTAAGATATACTGGTTATTCCTAGGAGCCAACAGGTCAATGACAGTGAACCAACCTTTTAGAGACAAGTTAATAAACTGTAACCCAGAACCCACTAACTTATCACAAAGTACCAACACTGCAGTTAAACCTGGATGCTGAGGGTTTAGTTTAGAAAAACAGCTATTTAAGGAGCAGCTCAGCAGCAGCTTGACCACACATTCAGGGCTGGAGCAAGCTGGCCCTGGGGACAGGGTGCTCCAGAGGCCCGCTGTGCGAACAAGCTGCTGGGACTAGAGCAGGGCCAGCCCAGCATGTGTTCAGCCTTCATGCTCCTCCCTGTTAACTACAGCACAGGTAGCTCTGAGAATGTTCCACTTTCTGTGTTCTCAGCAAAACCCTGAAACCTTACAGTTTCGGCACTGGCATGTGCTTCCTCCTTCTTTACTATGTATAAACAAAGATGCAGGCTGTGCTGGATTGTCACTGCCTCTCCATCAGGGAAGTCAAACCCCACCCAGTCCTGCTTTCCTTTCATTAGGTGTCTGTAGTTTTTCTGAATCTCCCGTCACCCCTCTCAGGACCCCACTGACTGTGTACATCACGGCACAACCGTCATGTGATGCTGGGCTGCTGGGCAACCTGGCTTGCATGTTGACAGAGGACTCTGTGTCCTCCACCACTCCTCTAAGTTAAGGGCAGCAAGTATTTTATTTTCTCCATTCCAGCAATATCATATGCAGTGCTGAGGCATCTGCAGAATTAGGAACGAAAGCTTAACCTGGTGAGAGATTTGTCAGCCACAGAACTAGGAAACAACAAAACTTGCCTGGGTCCCGGTCTCTGCTTCCTCGGCAGATTCCCAGCATCCATTACAGGAAGGCACTTGTCGACAGATTGCAGCCCTGGGCCCAGAAACACTCGGGTGAAAGGGCCACACCACCCCTGAAAACCCGGAGCAGCCCCTCTTCTCCCTTCTGACACCTAGCCCTCCACTTGCTCTGGAAAGTTCTCCTAAGTACTAGCTGTCTGCTCTCTTCTGCCTGAAGGGCGACTGCTTGCATAGTTCACACTAAGTCCTGAAGGCAGTTCTGCAGCACAGTAGTGGTGGCATAAGAATACCTTTCCAGCCATGCCAGTGTCTCCTGTGCCCTTTCCACAGCACTGACCCCTGTAGTGGGCACCATAGGACAGCATCAGAGCTTCCTTCCCCATGGCAGCCATAAGTCTATTACTCTGGAAGAAGCAGACTCCTGGGAACTCCTTTGATGTGGTTTTGATTTAAAACAAAAAGCACCAGTCACAGGTGCTTTCTTGAGGAAGAGAAGGGCTATCAAAGCCTGCAGGCCCTTGATGATGCTGCCCTGAGGTTAACCTGTGTCCAGGTTCTGGCCCTGACTCCTGAACTCAGTCTCTAGAAAGAGTCAAGGATATGCTTATGACACATCAGCTGCTGCCTGGACCCTGCACCCTCCCTGCGGATCTGGAGGTCTGTGGGCATGATCTGCATGGACCAGGCTGGCACTCCCTTGGGCCAGGGTGGCCGAGAGGCCTGTGCCCAGGAAGCGGAGGGCTGCCCTGGGGAAACGCTGCAGCTTCCATGGTTTGAAGAAGCCTGTGGTGGGGGAGGGAGAAGCCGGCTGGCCCAGCCGCCACCCTGAGGGACAGCCAGGGTGGGAAGAGTTGGCACTTGCTGCTCTGTCAGTCTTGCCCTCACCACACAGAGACGGCTGTGTACCCATGGCGGAGAGGGAAAGCTCCATACTGTCCCGGTCACTCGGCTTCACCATGGCATATGGCAGCCAGTCATGAGGTGACACCCTACTGCCCTTCCTGACCACCCACCTCCTCCTCTGCTCCCCATGTGCCACCCTCCATGGGCCAGCACCCCAACCTCGTGAGCCACCTGCACCTCCCTGGGCACCACATACTTCTGTGCCACTGCACATGCTGCTGCCTCCAGAATGTTCCCCGCGCCTTAGCAGGCAACTCCCAGCCTCTGCAGGCAGTCACCTCCTCTTTTCTTCTGCCTCTGCCCCCACCTCTGCCTTCCCCAGACGAAGGTCACACAGTGCTCTCCGTTGAGTCTGAGGTCAGAAGACCCCATGAAGGAGGCAGAGAGTGGGGGACGTGCAGGTGGGCTGGGTGCATGCTGCATGAAATAGTCCATGAGAGTGGAAAGGTGATTTTACAAAGAGGCCGGGTAAGAGAAGAATCAGAATTAACAGTTCTTAAGCTAAGAGACATGTAATATTCACTGACAAAAACCACGATAAGGAGCCAGCTGTGGTGGCAAGACCACAGTGTCCAAGCGGTTCAGCATCATAAAATCAGAGAGCGGTCAGCCAGGAGGAGGTAAATATGTGGAGGGCACACTTACAAAAGTGATGGTGAATGCGCCAGAAATAAACAACACCCCGAAAGAGAGGAAATAAGGGGACTCAGGAAAGACCCTTGAGAAGTCTGCAGGTTGGGACTGGCACATTGCTGGGGTCAGTCTGTAGAGGACACAGGACAAGCAGAGGTCAGGACAGGGCCTGGTCCAAGAAGACCATGGGAAAGATGTTGGTGGAGGAGACTGCTGGCACACCGAAGGCTGCCTGCAGGTACACAGAATGAAGAATTGGCAAGGATGATTTGTAGTAACTGCCAGCCTTTAAATGATAAGTTCTGGCTGAGTGAGGAGAACCAAAATAATCCTGTTGCCATGGAAACCAAGGGAATGAAATCTCTGATGTGGGGGGCAGGGAGAGAGTGAACCAGAAGCAGTGGGAGTTGGTGTTGACTGGGAAGAATTCAAAAAGTTCTCTAAGGAAGTGTGATCCAGCCACCACATAACAATACCAGTGACAGCTAAAATAATGGCTAACATGTATAGCAGATTAATGATTAGCTTATCATAGGCCACTCTTGATTATTTTCCTAACAACTCACATTTTTCAGTGAGAGAGAAGTGGGTAGTGTTCCAGCCAGTAAGTCCCAGAATTGTTCCTGGCACTGAGTACATCTGCCTGAGGATGCTGGGGTAGAAGGTGTCCCTGTGGGGAAAGGGCAGAGACCTCTGAGGTGGCCTGGTCCTTCTGCTGCTCTTCAGATGACCACCATGGTATTCAGAGCCCTGACAACATTCATGCCTTTCTGAGCAAAATCAGCCACACAAGATGACAGATTACTTATGGAAGAGGGAGACTCCATCTTTCTTGGGCTCCCCTGCAGAGTGGTACTCACCTCCTACCAGCACACACTACACAGAAAGATGGGCAGCCCTGGTGACCAGCAGCTATTAGACTCCACCCTGGGAACTGGGTTCCTACACAACCTTGAATAAAATGGAGCCAATTAAGGTGAAATTAATTAATCAACCCTTATTGATTTAATAAGTTTTTCTTATGTTGGGCTTAAATTTATTTGAACTATCACACTGAATCCCTAGAAGCCCTTAGAAGACAGGCATTGTTGTGGTCCCATTTTGCAGATCATCACTGATGCTGAGAGAGGGTAAGCGACCAGTTAAGACCACACTGGGAAGACTTATATGGAAGCTAGGTGACATCCTTCCCAGTCCTGACCTCTTCATTACTACACTAGGCCACCATACACCAAACAGCCTAAGGGGCTGGTTTCCAGAGAAACCCAGCAGACAGTACAGACGAAGAGAGGAACCCTGGCCTGACTGCCTCTCTACGAGCACTGCCATCAAGACAGCTGTGCATGGGAGCTCATGGAGAGGTCATCATGGCTTCTTCCTGCTTCCTTAACCAAGTGGAGCCACAGAGCTGCTGCTTTCAGTTTCAGGTTTTAGTGAAGGGCCATGTCCTTCAGTTGCTGCTCATGTAAACTGTGGTGGTCTGGCCATGCAGAAGAATGCGAAGGTATGAACCCCTCCTGGTACAGGAGTCTGCACCACGGAGCTGCTGCTGGGGCCACTGCAACCAGAGGAAAGAGTGAGTGAGTGAAGGACATATGAAGAAGCCCAGAGCCCACGTGTTGGCAGTCTGTTAACTGCCGCTGCCCAGTGTGCCTTTGTTCTGTTAGCAGATGGACAAATTTGTGTTACCCAGAAATGTTGCCCTGCTCTCTGCCTAGGACCTCAGCTCGTTCAGTCACTTGGCCCCTCCTGACCACTTTTTCCTTTGGTAACCACTGTGATTAATTTGTGGTCCCTTCGTCCACCTCCCCGTAGTCCAGGGAGCCCCTGTGGGCCTTGCCCTGTGCCCCATATCTGAGTTAAGTGTCCTCATCTGATGCCCCTGTCGCTACTTTCACTCATGGTACTGAGAGTTCATGAGCTCCTGAAAAGACAGAAATGTATTTTATTGACTTCTATGGTCTGGTGTCTTAGAGCTGCTGGACAGAAAGGAAACAGATGCTCAATAAACACGAAATGCATGGATGACACTTGTACAGGTATCTGTCTGTGGAAAAGGAAAAGCTTAGACGACTTAAAAGATGGCTGATCCTATCCTGAAAAACTACAAGCTTTGAGCCACCAAAAATGCCTTGTGTTCACTGTATTCCATCTACCAGTCAGACACTGAGATTAATAAGCTATTTTCTGGAGCATTTTTGAACAAGCCTGGTAGGTGCTATCTTGCAAAAATGATGCTAAATATGGTGCAGGGTGAAATTTTGCACAGCAAGCTGTTGGATATTCATATAGGATATGGAATAGCACACCAGATGCACCTAACATAAGATACATATTCTCTATAATTTTAGTAGCAGAAATGGAAAGGAGGTTATGAGACACATGTTCCCCAGCTTTGTTTATGTGTTTAAAGGACATCTCATCTACTTTAGATTCAGAAGGACGAGACAATGAAAAATGCATGAGCCTCAGGGAAAGCAGAGCTGCTGGGAGCCGAGTGCCCATTCTAGCAGAGATCGTACTCATGAAAACCAACAGAACCATAACCAGCAGCACTTTGCTCTGCTACAGACATGGACTGCAAGGCTGAGAACAAAGTTGTGCTGAAAATCAGAT